GTATTAATTGTAAAATCAAAACCTGGTTTTTAAAAAAGTCAAATTTAATACCTGATTTTATGTAATTACCACAAAAACAATCATTTTGGGCTTTTAATTTTTCTTGTGGCCCTTGAGGCCCAAGGCCACTGTCAAGGTATCCTTGAGCCAGTCTTTATTAGTATTTTCCACTTAGAAGAAGCAAATTTTCACGTAAAACTAATTTGATGTATTTTAAGTAATTTTTTCTTATAATTTAACTTTTTAGTTATACTTAGTATTTTTACTTATAGGATATTTTTTTTTTACATATAAATAAGTTTTATCTTATACGTGATTTTATACTTATAAGTAAATATTTTAGTTATGAAAGTTTTTTAAATACATAATTTTTCTACTCATATAAGATTTTTTCTAACTTATAAGTTAAATTTCACTCAAAAGTAATTTTTCACTTATTCACATACTTTATAGTTATAAATGATTTTTTTACTTATAAGTGATTTTTTCACTTATATACATTTTTATTTTTAAATTTTTAAGTAGAAATTGCACTTTTGAGCTTAAAAATCCACTTATAAATAAATAATTTACTCATAGAAAAATCATAGAAGAAATTATTGGTAAAAAATTCATTTATTAAGTTACGAAAAACAAATCTTATAAAAGAAATATTGTCAAATTTTTTATTTTGTTTTTTTGTTACGTCTACTATCTACAGTGTAGAGCCAAACATTATATTAAAATAATCCTTCTTAATCCAGTTTAATACGATCCATTGATTTTATATTCCCTAATCGTATTCCTACTAATTCAATCCTCCTAATTCAGTATAGTGTATCAAACGTGTCTATCATACGATTGAATAATGGAAGATAAACATCCTAAATTGATTTATATTTTAACTAATTGTACAAAGATCGAATATGACTTAAATAAGATTATTTTTGTTATTATTGTATTCAGTGCAAGGTTCCAAATGCCCTAGTTTTCATCAAGAAATCCTTTTGAGGGCTGGCTGAGCTCAGCTGAGCTCAACCCAACTCAATTCACAATGGATTATTGATTGAGGAAATTGCAGTCTCACAAGTTCTTAAGATATCATTTTCATAAATCCAAAATCAACTTTAATAATACATAAATCGGGTTTTAATTAATAGTTTTTAAATTAATTTTTATTTAAATCAATCTTACACAATTTCAAACCCTAATTATTTCATTTTCTCTCCCCCCTCGCCCTATCCTTGCCGCCGCCACCACCTCGCTGACACCTAAGCCGACGATCGACAGTTGTGGAACGTGCGGGACAGGCTTAGAGCTGTTGTTTGTGCTGTACGATCAGTGGCAAAGCTTGACGCCTCTGTGCACGAAGTAGCAGCGGTGCACGCCAATCGCCGCTGCTTCATGAGCAGCGCGCTTCCTGCAGCAGTAATGGTGCGCTTCGAATTCTTTCTGTTTTCTCTTCATCTATTTTCTCTTCATCCGTTGTGTTGTGTTGTATTGATGGTTGTGGTGTGGTGTGGTAGAGGCGAAGAAGATGGTTGATTTGATGAGGTGGTGGTTGTGATTTGTGGATGCTGGTCAGGGTAATTGTGCGGTGGGGATAGCTGCAGGTTTGGGTATTTTTTTGTTGGGGTGGTGGTTGCGGTGATGTGGGTGAATGAACTAGTGTGTATGTGTGTGTGTGTGTGTGTGTGTGTGTACACGCGTGCGTGCGTGTGGTGGGTGAATGAACTGCTAATGGGGGTGTGTGTGCGCGTGCGGCAGCGGTTGCAGTTGGGTGTGTGCGGTGTCATAACGATGGTCGTAGGTGGGATGAGATGAACATGGATGTCTGTGATCAATTATTTGGTTGATCTTGACAAATTAATAATGTGTGACCTAAAAATTGTGACCGTGACTCACAATTTATTAAGTTATAATCGAGTTGTGACCAATAAAAGTAATCTGTGACCTATAAATTGACTATTCGTGCCCATAAAATAAGTTGTGTGACTTATAAATTTAGTGATTTGTGATCGATGATCTANATGTCAAACCAATATTGTGGGTTGTGATTTGTAGTCTGTGGTGAGCGCTAGTGATGTTTGTAGTTTGTAGGTTGTGTTGGTGTGGGCGGATCTGTTGTGGATCCACCCCATTGTGGTGTTTTTTAGGGGGTGTGTTTGCGCATTCGGGTGTTTTTTTGTTCGAGGTGATGGTGGTGCATTCTAGCCATTGGTGAGGTGGTGTGATGGTGGATCTAACACTGTTGATGACGTTGGTGGTGGATCGACGGTTGCGGTGATTTTTGTTGGATTTAGGGGTGGTAGATCTAGTGGCGACAACGAGAGTTTATTTGAAAATGGTGGTTGATAGGTGGTGATGGTGGTTCTCACAGCGACGGTGATTGTGATGGTGCTGTTGGAGGGAGTGGCTAGGTGGTGCTCACAAGTATTGGTTGGGATCACAAATTATTTGGTTGATTGTGACCATTAAATTGGTTAATCTATGACCAATAAATAATATGTGATCAATGAAAAAGTTAAATTATGATCAAAAAATAATGTGTGACCTAAAAAATTGTTAATTTGTGTCGATAATTTGAAAATTTGTGACTATCTGATAAGTTGTGACTTATAATATTTGTGACCGATAAAAAAATTGTAGCATATAATTTTTTTTTTTTTTTTTGGTGACCGATGAATAAATTGTGACCTATAAAATTTTTGAATTGTGATCGTAAGATAATTTGTGACATAAGATTTAAGATTGAAAAATTGTGACTGTCTGATTAGTTGTTATTTGTGATAAACAAATTGTGACATATAAATTTTTGATTTGTGATTGATGAACAAATTGTGACCTATAAAATTTTTGAATTGTGACAATAAAACAATTTTGACAATAAAACAATTTTGACATGAAATTTTTGAATTGTGACAATAAAACAATTTTGACATAAATTTTTTGAATTGTGGCCGAAAAATAATTGTAACTAATTAAATCGTTACTTTGTGATCAAATTTTATAAATTTGTGACCTTAATATATTTAATTAATAAAATATATAATTAAGTAATTAAATCATAAATAAATTTTAATGAAAACCTGATTTTTGAAATTTAAAACATCTATCATTAATTTTGAAATAGTGATACTTAAAAACATGGTTTATGTATTGTTCCCTTATTGATTGCTGTGGAGCACGCAAATGGCCGTCAGAGGACACAAGAATTGTTTTTATTTACTTCTTCAGTCCTACAAAAATACGCTTGCTTTCATTTTCATACAGATAAAAAAAATAATTAATATAGTTGAAATATAATTTTTTTTCTTATATTTTTTTAATATACCTATAAATTAAATAATTGTCTAAATGAAAATAATCTATATTTGTTAATAACAATACATAATAAATAAGAATATATTAAAAAAAAAATTAAGAAATCAGCGGTACTCTCGACAATAAGAAAGGTTCTTTTATTTTTTTGAATTTTGCTACTTTACGGGAAGAAATTTAACAAATGCAGTGTAATATTATAATCAATAGTATTATTTTGGATTATGATTTACATGTAATATTATATTATTGAAAAATATGAAATGAATAAAAAATATGTATTGCTGTATTAGGGAGTGTTTGACACCCATTTTAATGGATTGAAAATTTTTGAAATAGTGATTGATGGGAGAATGTGTGGTGAAAACGTGATGAAAAGTTTTAGATTTGGATGTAATATTATTTTATTTGAAAATTGTGTGGTTGAAATGAAAAAAGAAAATGAGAATGAGTGTCAAACAAGGGCTTAGGCCCTGTTTGGAAGGGATTCTCAAAATTCTACAGTAAATCAATTCTCATTTTCAACCGCACATTTTTTAATAAAATAATATTTTCTATCACATCAATAATTTTTTCTTCTTTTTCAACCACACATTTCTCATCGTATCACCATTTAAAATCAATTCTTCTTTCCAAAATTCCTCACAACCAAGCACTTAATATTAAAATTAAAATGGGCGCAGGGTCCGTGCGAACAAGTTCTACAAACTTCTACAGCTTACGGCATTTGCCTCTTCCCCAAGCTTCCTTTCCCTTTCAGGTCGAAATTCAAGCGCCACTACACCAATAAATATACTCCAAACACAAATTAAAGGAATAAAACTTCTGAGTACACTTTGGATTTTTACCTTACGTTGATGGCGACTTCAAGGACCTCCTCTGCGGTGAGGCTGAGCAGGAACGCCGTGGCCGCTCTCAGGGCCTCTCGCTATCGCTCTCGAGACCTTGCACTCTCTCATCGCTCCTCTAAAGTACTTTCTTCTCGAAACCCAACTTTTCCTCCTCGCACCTATGGTTCTTGTGGATTTGGAGCTCCCACCATTCCTACTAACTTCTCATCAGGTCTGGTTTCGACCCAAATTCTCACCCGCTTTTACTCCGCCTCTGCTGCTGCCTCCGGCCAGGT